GCTGGAAGGGGGGCACGGCGTAACCAGCCGTCGTCCTGCTCTGTGACTGCATCCGGGAGGGCGCGCTGGAAGGGGGGCACGGCGTAACCAGCCGTTGTCCTGCTCTGTGACTCCCTCCTCTCTCTTGTGGAGGTTGGAATGATGAACAGATTGGCAACTCTCGAATGTCTGGAAGATGTTCTTATACACTCCTGGCACCTATTTTTGTTAGACATTAGAGTGAACATATTAATTTTACGTACGCCTATTTCTTCAAAGATGAGTAACGTGGCATTTCATAATAAAATTACCCAACAGATCTGGGTGTCACTTACATTAATTACATAGTATGTTACCAGCTTTTGGAGAAATATTTTATGTAACTCTTGTGACTAGACTATAATATTATAACACAGTTAAATATTATGTGTGTATGAGTCAGCAGTCTTGCAGTAATATTTTTGCAGTCTGAAGCAGTTTATTTCCATTTTTTTGGGGGGGTAGTTAGGGCATCTTGAGAAAACTCACTTATGTATTTAGTGATTTATCTTTGTTTTAGCACTTCAAATTTCTGAAAAGTCCTGTGTAGTTACATCAAATGACAATCTAAGTTGGACTGATTAGAAATCTGAGAAATTTACAGAATTTTTATGGGTGCTTTGAAAGTGTCGAGTAACCTGTGAAAAAAATTTCAAATTCCATTTTAATGCAGCAGATAAAGGATCACATATACCTGAATCCAATTTGGATAGCCCTTAAGTTTCATCCCAAATCTTTTTTTTTTATTGTACTTTAAATGAAGGTGTACAGAACAAATAGTTTCTAATTAAACAGTACACATTTTGTTTTATGACATTGGTTAACAACCCCACGACATGTCAGCAGTCCCCCTTCTTGACTTTGGGGACCTTTTTTTTGGTGAAAACATGCATAGCCAAAGTTATACCATTTTGAAAATTTCTACATGTACAATTCAGTGACATCGATTATATTCTCCCAGTTGTGCTGCTATTCTCACTATCCTTTTCCAAATTACTCCATCACCATTATCTTCAACTCAGTGTCCCCTAGGCTTCCCATCAAACCTTTTGAGTTGCTGTTGTCAATTTAATCTCACACAGATAATTCTTTTTTTTTCTAGTACCTTAGATGAAGGTTTGCAGAACAAATAGTTTCTCTTTAAACAGTACACATATTGCCCTATGACAATGGTTAACAGCCCCAACCAAATCTTTTTGAACATAATTATATTTATTTTTCTTGACTTCAAAAATACAGCTTTCTTTGTGTATTTGAAATTGGACTAAATTATAACGTGAAATTTTTAAGTGTGACCAAACACTTTTTTGTGGTAGTATGTAAGGCAAGACATACTTGTTTATTACGTTTTCAGGTTATGAGGGTATTGCTTACATAAATAATACCAAAAACTAAATTTGACAACAGAGAGTATTCCTACTTCTGGATGATTTTCTGAAGTTGAGTTTTTCCATTACCTTAGATCTTTGTAAATAAATTGCAAAGAGGAAGGAAATACCTCTCACTTCCAGCCCTTTTCTGTCTGTGTATTTGGTAATTTGAATACCACCCAGTCAAGTCTTTAGGAATAATATGATGTAAGATTGGAATTGGAGACCTAAAAATTGGATGGTTTTGATTATTTTTTAAAGAATTTTTTTTCCTTTAATTTTTCTTCACTAGATTTGTTTTTAATTGAAAAGTAAATTATATAACTTGCACCCCCTGAAGTGACCAGGTGTGAGTCTGGCTGATACCTGTCCACGTTTCTGTGCTCAGAGCAGTGCATTCCTGTGCTCAGAGCAGTGGGTTTGTAACTGGCCTCAGATAGCAGGACAGCTGACCGCACAGGGTCCCACGGGGCCCTTAGTGTTCGCTCAGTAGTTTTTTGGTGGCACCCCTAGGCCACCTAAGATGCGTTAGATTAGATTAGATTAGATTCAGACAAATATTTACGTTCTGACACCTTGGTAGATATTTGAAAACATAGTACACAAAAATTGAAAGAAAAATATTTTCATTTCATTCTCAATCATGGTTACTGTTAATGGGATGTGTATGCTCTCGGCCACGGCACGGTTTCTCGAACCCTTGAGTCTTCGGCACTGTGTGAGGTTTCCCCCGTGTTGTGCTTGCACCGTCACATACAGGCTGGTGATGGCGCAGGTTGATGGACGAGGGCGCTGATGCCGTGGTAGAGCCCGCTGGTGGTGAGCGGATGTTTGACTGGGCAATCGGTTTCAGAAGTGGTTAGTACACCACTGAATGTTTTCATTTTATGAAGAGCTTGGTTTTTTTAACTCGACCCTGCAAGTGTTGGGTGTTGGCATGCCCACACAGGTGTTTGAGATATTTAGTGTATTTTTGAAAAATCTCATGGTCTACCAAAGCACACGCTGAAAGATAGGTTTGGGGCGGATCACGCAAAACCTGTGTGAGCTTGTAACCGTGGCTTGCTCACAAGTCAGGAGTGCTAGCAGAGTGTGAATGGTTTCTCAGAGGGAGGAGGCTTCCTGGGGAACATGGTCTCCTTGAGGTGCTGTGACCTCACATTCAGCCAGTTCCCAGTCTATAGCTACCCGCCCCGGAAACAAGTGTCTCAGCCTGGAGGAGCTAGTCCTGTCCTTTGGAGCCTTCTTTTTCCTTCCAGCCTTTCGTAGGTGGCCTGGCTGGGTGGGCTCTCAGGAGTCGCTTGCCGGGTACCGTGTTCCTGAGCAGAGTGCCCAGCAGACATAGGGTGCTGAGGGAGTCCCTTGCTGGGTACCATGTTCCTGAGCAGAGTGCCCAGCAGACATAGGGTGCTGAAGGAGTCCCTTGCTGGGTACCATGTTCCTGAGCAG